GCATGGAAGGGCAACTATGCTGGTCCGAAGTCCGAAGTGTGGTAGACTCTTGCTTCTTTAATGTTGGTTCGTTGACAGGCCGCTACTTCAAGCCAAAAGATACGCTGGAGCGTAGACGAGCAGCGCAAGAGCCGAAATGGTTCTGCAGCAAGTAGAGGAACATCGGCGGTGGCTTCAAAGCCGTTCTTCACGGTAGCTGCAGAACCAGCAGCTCTGTCGGAGTATGTGTCTCGGAACGTTTCGGGGACTCGATTGAGTGCGCGGAACGCTTCAACGACCAAATGACGGAGATTGTAGTTGTTTTTGGAGACCAACCTTTCGACATTTTCTCTGCATACGCTCCACAGACTGGTTACTCTGAGCAAATAAAGGGAGAGCTCTGGACTTGGCTTGATGGAAAGACAGTTAATTGCCGTTAGAAGTTATTGTTGGCGCAGGAAACCTAAATGAGCGCATTAGTAGTTGGCACAACGAGAGGGTGGTTAAAAGTTGTCATGGTGGTTTGGATCTGAGTAAGTACCGTCGATGGTGAGCGAATCCTCGAATATGCTGATTCCCATGTTCGAACTTTCGGGCCACTCGGCTCGGTCGCCGCAAGATCGACCGCTGATTTGGACGCTTATAGTCGCGCCAACGGAAGGAAACTTGGAAATGTGCTACCGAAGCAAAACTCGATTGTTCTCCGTGAGCTGAGCGAGAAAAGCCTGGATGACGGAAGATTAACAAGCGTGGCTGTGCATGGATAGTTGTATAGTGAAGGTACGCGAAAATAATAGTCCCTAGCACGAGTTTCTTGGTGAACGACTGATGATTGGCAGGACTATCGGGAGACGAAAAGGCCGTACCTTATGCAAAAGCTGCCCACTGAGTTGATTTCAGCAAGAAATTAGATATGCGTGAAGGCGCGTTATATATACCGTGTTGCTAAAGCCCGCCATCGCCAGACCAAGGATATCGAGAACACATTCTAACGAACCGCAATAGGGCAGTAAAACGTTGGAATGACTATTTTGAGAGTATCTCAACAGTAGAATTTGCTCGTCCGGCTGTACCTTGCGCTCTGCCAGTACATGGTCATGTACAGAAAATAGCAATGGACGAAGTGGAAATAGCGCTGAAGAAGATGACCCCCGACAAGGGAACTGGTCCAAATGGCATGGCAGCTGATGTGTAGAAGTCGCGGTGCTGGAATCAGGTGGCACGGTCGATGAAGAAAAGTGGGTGCTCGTGAGTTGGCAATAGAGCACCACCATTCCGATCTGGAAAAAGTAGGGCAGCCTTACAGAATGCATGAGCTATCGCCCGATTCGCTTGTTCTTGCACAGTATGATGATCTTTGAACGAATTGTCGAGAGCCGTATTCGAGAACTGATCCATGTCTCCATCAACCAATGTGGTTTTATCTCCGGCTGCAGCACCACTGACTGAATGCATGCCACACGTCCTTTGCTAGAAGAGCATCTTGAGGAACGAAAATCACCTTCGCTCAGTGCATCTGGCTTCTGTTCAATTTAGGCTTGCGATCGCGTGATGCGTGAAGTTATGTGGTGTGCTACTTTACTTGAATCCAATGAGTCGAATGTAAGTGGTATCTTGCGCACTTGAGGTCTGGCGTACATCTGTCTTCAAGTATCTTTGGTCAGCAGTCGCGTCTTACGGCAGTCTGGCCTCTGAAGTTATCCACACGTGAGTGCGGCATGGTCTAAATGGCGCTCTTTAGCAGGCGTTTTATGGGAAAGAGAATGCTTAAGAAAATTCCAAATCAAAGACCTACAGGACTGTCATACGACCAGTCGCGATCATGGTGCAGAATGCTGGCTTGTAACTAGAGCACTTGACAGAAACGAAAATTCAGCACGGCATTCGGCTCTGACAGTAATCCGGCACGACATAACCCCATTTTCATACGCAAATTCTCACCTGTCACTTATGCAACGCGTCGAAAAGGACATTGTCAAGGACACGGGCGGGTGGTGAGAAAGCTAGGGGGTTACTGTAAGAGTCGAGTGCCCGTCGCGAGTTCCTCAAAACTTGTAGCACCTCCTGGAGTTACAGGAAAGAAAGTGCTGCGATGAACGGCTGAAGCCGCGTGTTTGGCCGTATTCGCAAGTATGCAATAGAGAAGTCTTCTGGAGTAGCCCCTGTTGCTGGAAAAATGCTCAAAGCTCGTCTTCGGTGGTACGGTTATGTCCTTCTGTCGCGCGACCATGTATCTTTAAGATCGGCCTCGACCTCGGCGGTCTGAAGAGAAATCAAAGCAACACTTTCTTGACATCTTACATGAGGGCTTGGAAGTATTCGGTCTCATTCCGACCAAGCATACTGTCGAGAAAAGTGACGCCAACACACCTGTAAAGCGGACCCGCTACTGAGGGAACGAGCGCTGAAGCAGAAAAGGAATCAGAAGTTATCAGAAGCGAAATCGAAGTAGACGACATATGCGCTCGTTTTTCGCATTTCATTGAGGCAGGATTGGATGGGTCTTGTATACTGAATAGAACAACAACAAAACGTCGACGTACACTGCAGCCGAGTCGCAAGAAGAAAGCATGTTATCGGAAGAAGGGCTGTTGGAGCGGTCATTATCATCACTTGACCAAACCTTTACCTTTTACTGACCCATAATAAATACTTAAATCACTGATAAAAGTGAGCGTGGTTAGTCGCTGGTTGATTGGCCCTCTTCATCATTCGTTATCACCTGGGAATGACGAATGATGAAGAGGAGTGTTAGAGAATAGTCCGACTGGGTAACTTTGGTAAAAAAAATCATAATGAAAAAAGAGGTGGACACATTTGAACTCAAACTCCATCCAACCCAGCCACTATCAAGGTATCCAGTAAAAACAGAATGCGAAATGCTGAGACATTTATTCGTCATAACAGAGGAACCCGAGGAGGCCGCCAGAAGTATCGATTAATTGGCTGGAAGGTTTTTTGGTACATCACCTACTTGCTATTCTGTGCTCATAGGTACATTCGCTTTTGAAATCGTGTATCGTGTGCCCGTCGTCCGTACAGGTGCGGGACGTTAGTCACGACTGACATTACTTCGCGTCGAGGTGCGAAGTGACCTCGACCGTAACTAACCTCATCTTAAAGGCACCATTCACGACTAAAAGTTATTGAGATCTTACCTTATTAATACTCAGCTGCCCCCATGGGTTGTTGAAGGGACCCTCTCATTCCCGCAATCTCGACGTCCAGGGCGTAGTGGCAGCTCCGTTGTTGACGTAATTCGCATCTCCGCCCCTCGACTGATGTCACGTCAGACGAGTGTCGAGACGACACAGCGTCATGTAATCGCGTCAGGACCCACCCTGAACTGCAATTTGGCAAATTGCCAGAGACGCAATGTGTTGTCTGCTATTGCAGACAACCACTGCGTCTCTGCTCTGGCAACTTGCCAATTTGGCCGAACACCCCCTAACCACCATTATTTCAATGTGAAACTCGTCCAACCCCCTTTCCAGCTCTTTTTTTGACCCTTTGTAATTCTTTTTGTTTGTCTTTTTTTGCGGTTTTTTCGCTGTTATCGCTTTATTCTAGAGTAGTTCTATCAATTCCCGCCGAAAAAGGGTAAACTACATTTTTTGCTAGCGGTGCCTTTAATGACGCGCCTCCCCTTGATCGTAACTAACTCTTATCTTACTTATAAGAGTGAGGAACTGATGAGAATAGTGAGAAAATGAAAGTTCAAGAGAAGTAGTTTTTCAACGTAAAACTTTCGTGGTCTTTGGTTATGAAAATTTTATTACCGTGGAAGATGATAGAAGATTCAACAAAAAAATCAAAATGAGGGAAGTGTAGCGAAGGCTGCGGTACGGGTTGGAGCGGTTGGGTAGGTGTGGAAGTAGCGTAGTACAAGGGCAGCGGTGCGGGTTGGAACTGCGTTAGCGGAGGTTGTATAGGTACGGAAGCAGCATACATGGTGTAATGGTTATGGTGCGCTTTCAAGCTGCATTGGTGGAGGTTGCGTCGGTACGGAAGTAACAGCAAAAGGGTCGGGGTGCGGAATGAAGCTGCGTTGAAGCTGAAGGCTACCCCGTGAAATCTCGGAGGTAGTAGAAAGTGTCGTCAGTATACATAGTAAGGTTCTAAGCAAAATAGTCGTATATAAATCACTCACCCACCAGCTTGAATTGTAGCTGATGACCTCTCATCAATGTGCTGAATTTAGCCTGAAGTATTGTAATATTCCATGAGAAGTGTGAAATGGCCTAACTGATCAGCAGGGGGCGTTCAATGACCTTTCAAACACGAGATGCCCCAATATCAAACAACTACGTCGCTTCTGTAAATGTTGTTTGATATCACAGATGAGTGGAAATTCAAAAAAAGGGTGTTTTTATATCTTACACGGACTTCATTTTTATGACCCTTGAATTTTTTTAATCTATATGGTAATAGAACTTTTGAAACCAAGGACCATGAAATTTCACATCTTACACGAACATCATTTTCATGACCCCCGAATTTTAATATTTCTTATGGTAATAGAACTTTTAAAACCAAAAACCATGAAAGTTTCACGTTGAAAAACTACTTCTCTTGAACTTTCATTTTCTCACTATTCTCATCATTGCCTCACTCTCATAAGTAGGATGAGGTCAGTTACGATAAAGGGGAGGCGCGTAATTAAGATGAGATTAGCTACGATTGAGCTCACCTCGCACCTCGACGCGAAGTAATGTCAGTCGTGACTAACGTCGCACAACCTCGTCTGTACATTTTGGAACTTGTCTTTTAGTTTCATTTTATTGTACCAGAATTTCAAAAGGTCAGTTATGTGGAACATTACCCCGAAGAACTGTAAACACTTAAGAATAGGAATTATGCTTCCCACAATCCAATATGTAACAAGGGAAGCAATGGAAAATGCTGTTATCCATGTGCATGGGGTGGATGATCCAGTTTCATTCCGTTCTTGCATTGCCTTAGGCATCTATATAATAATATTTTTACTAAACCTATGCTTTGTAATGGCTCTTGTTCTCTAGGATGAAGGAAAAGGTTTGGCGAAGTCATTGACACTTTTTAATGGCGTATCCATAATTGTTGGTTGTATCATTGGTTCAGGGATATTTGTGAGCCCCACTGGTGTGCAGGAAAGTGAGTTGTTCGGGTTTCTAAATTTTTTTTTGTTTTTTTACAACCTTCATCTTTCAGAAGCGGGTTCAGTAGGTCTTTCGCTGGTTGTCTGGGTCGTATCTGGGATATTTGCTGCCATTGGTGCTTACTGCTATGCAGAACTGGGAACATTGATCCGTAAATCCGGTGGTGATTATGCTTATATCATGGAGGCATTTGGATCTTTCTTGGCATTCGTGCGATTGTGGATAGAGAGCATTGTTGTGAGGTGCGCCTATATCGCTAGCCGCGTTTTTTGAAACTTAGGTTACAGACTGGACATAATATTCGTTTTTGGCGCTCTATCTGAACTTCACTGGTGTATGTAACAGAAGCGTCTTTTGAAAGGTAACCGGTGCAAATAATGGAAATGCTGAATTCTAGTGAAATGCAGATGAGAAAATTATGGAAATCAAGCTCTGGCGCGTTATTCTCAACTATTGGGAAGCTCTTCTTTCCTGAACTCCTTTTTTTTTGTTTTCATCTGACTCGCTGATTTCGATTACCATGAAAATTCTGCCTCTTTCGTGAACGATGAAGCCGTCGCTCTACCGTAACTCTATCATCGATTTGCGCCTTCAAGAATTCCAAGTGATCCATCTCTTGTTTGAATGGGTCAAGAATCACTGTTTCAAAAAGAGTCGCAATATTTACGGAGCTGACAGAACTTTCTAGCTCTTCGAGACGTGGGAGAACTACTTCTGCAAGCTATATGGCTATTATCATGAATGTGGGCAGTTATCTGTGCTGCAATTCGGCACTGTTAATGAAGAAAACTGCGAGGCAGATGTCAATATCTACAAGATAAGTGGTGCTGTAGACGATCACTTGAAGTGGAATGCATAGGGACGGAAAAAGATCAAATTTCATTGATCGTTAAAAAAACGAAGCAGGGAAGAAGCACTTTTTCCTTGAAGGCTCTCAAGAATTATATTGTCTCATTTGGGCTTCTGTCCTCTATGGCCCATGAAGTTGGTCCTTGTTTAAACCTTTCTGTGATCCGGGTGGGGCCTCTTTCACCATCTAGTGTCTAAATCTTGCTACTTAGGAACGCCTAGCCATTTCCTTACAAGGAAGGTCTTTCAGGGCGTGGGACGCTTTTTGAAAAAGGTTTTTTGCATGGTATAGGGGCATGAGCACTGAGTATAGCACTATGGTCCATTTCCGCTAAACCAGTCGGGCCGCTCGGCAGACACCGGGCTTCCCTCCTTCTTACGGTGTCGCCCGGCTTCGCCTCCTCCCTTCTGTAAGAAATTTGCTATGCGTAAATAACTCTTCGGAATCTCATTTTCCTTGAAAGCTCTACACCCTCAGGATTAGCTCCGAATTGGGAGCAATTTTTTCTGTAAGTCATCTTCGCTGTGTCCGGTATGAACATCGTGTAATATCTAAAAGGCGATTATTCTGAGAAAAAAGGACATTTCGGCTAAGAAAGCGTACCTCCGTGAAATTTTCGTGTAGTTGGAATACTTTGAACGCCCTATGGCCAAAATCTCATTTTTCGCGCAAACCCGCCCCTGTGGGCGGGGTCTGGTCCTGCCACCTACAACGAGTGTTCCCATCCTGTTCCCATAACTCCTACCACATTTGAACGCTCTAGGTCCACGGGAACAGAGGTTATGATTTCTTGCTCAAACTCCGCCCACTGTAGGCGGAGTCTAGCCCGGCCACCCACCGTCAGTGTTCTCATCCTGTTCCCATAACTCCTACCAAATTCGAGCGCTCTAGGTCCAGGGGGACAGAAGTTATGAATTTTTGCTCAAACTCCGCCCATTGTGGGCGGAGTCTGACGCTGCCACCTACCATGAGTGTTCTGATCCTGCCGCCCGTACTGCTACCAAATTTGAACGCTTTCGGTACACGGGGACAGGAGTTATGAATTTCCGGTCACACATACATACATACATACATACATACATACATACATACATACATACATACATACATACATACATACATA